CAAAGAAAATTAAAATCAAAGCAAAACTTTATTGATAGAACCATATTCTCAAGCGAATTAGTAGTGGTACTCTTGGGAAAACCCAAAGTAAAATTGTGTAAACCTATATATATATATAGGTCTTAATGTTTTAGAACTATCTAAGAAATTGATATACAAGTATCACTATCAAATCTTTGCTAAGATTTTTTGTTCCGAAAACTTAGAACTTAACTACATGGACACTGATAGTTGTGTGTTTAATATCATGCGTGATGATGTGTATGAGAAAATTAGGCAGAACTTAGATGTGTTGTTAGTAGTGAAATAAAACACACCCATGTTTTATTCAGAAATTATAAAAAGCAGGTAGGCAAGTTGAAAGATGAGTTTGGAGGAATTGCTCTTAAAAAGTATTTAGGATTGAGAAGCAAACTTTATTCCATAATGTATGTTGAATTAGTGCTAAGGGGGAAAACGTGCAAAAGGTGTTCAGCGAAACGTGGTTGAAAATGAAATCACTTTCCAAGACTATGAAGCTGCATTATTTGCAAATATGAATAAATATAGGTCTATGAACCTAATTAAAAGACAAAAACATGCATTGTCAAATCAAATCAGATTTATTTCCACAATATGTATAATACATAGAATACGAATATATATATTCTTGAAGCATTATACGGTACATTGTTTACGTAAAATTTAAGTAAAATCTAATTTATAAAGTTATTAATAGTATAAACTTAAATAATAGTTGAAATATGCTTGTTCCGTCTAGAATAATAACAATGAAATAATGGAAAGGAGTCTACATAGACCTCAGGATTTCACCACATGAAATATACGAAAACAATATTAAAATCCCAAAATATGCGACACTCGGTAGTTCAGAAGTAGACCTCACCTCCCCGGCCCACTAACCGATTAAGAATTTACCCCCACCAGCTGGTAATAGTACCAACAGGAATTGCTGTTGAGATCCCTTACGGTTTTGAGGGACAAGAGACAAGTGAGACCCAGGTCCGGTCTTGTATAATTGTACGATTTGACCGTAATTAACTCACCGGGGTACCTGTTATTGGTTGTGATATTATTGATAGTGATTATAGAGGTCAAATCTATGTCATCCTAATCAATATCGGGGATAGAGTTTACGAAATGGTAGATGAGGAAAGTATGGCACAGCTGGTAAATGGCAGGGTGAATAGCGTAGTTTAGGAGGAGGTCTCCCGACTGAACAAATCAAAACGTAACTGAGCAGGGCTGGGATCAACAGGGATGAAACTTATAGAATCTATAGCAACGGTTGACTTAGATTCTGACCTTGAAGAAGTTGTAACGATGTATTCCACACACGTTACAGTTTTACTTTTCCGTCAAATCAGGAACGTACAGTAGTACCAGACACTCGCGGTTTCCTATATTCTCGGTGCTCTTTCTCTAACGCACATCGAAACTCTGTTTTTACCGCCAGAGTGAGTCAAGAGGAGAGGTAGGGGAGCGGCGCATGCGCACTGGCCACTGTCTGGACGAGCTCCACTGCGGCGGTTTGTAGAGACATTCGACTCAATACCTCCGAACCGTGCAGACGTCTCGAGCACGGTAACCTCGCTGGCTTAATAACAAAACAGAAAACATTCTCCGATCTCACGGTAGCATCCTAGCATCCACAGAGCCATCCGAAAACCTAAATTATGTTGACTATTTATCAATAAAACTGACAAACACGTCACAAAGTTTTAGTCCACGAATGATTGCAAATTTATGAATAACCATGATGTATATATTCAAATTTAAATAAAATGTTTAAAATACTCTATACATAATTGTGATCAACAATGGTTTTTCAGAATTTTTCTGCAATAATTTAACATCTAGTTATGTATATAAAATTGCAACAATAAGTCAGTTTGTACAGTATATATGATTTAAATATGATTTTCGTAAACCTCTACATCAGCTACAAAAGGGTCCTTAACTTACTCCCTTCAAATATACTTTTCAGCCACTTTTCTGTTTGATATTACTACTATTAATAGTCAATATTGAGTTTTAAAGTATTTTGCTTTGTAAGGTTACAACACAGATTTTCTTACAAAACTGATTGCAAATTCAGCTGTCGTCTGTCACTGACAAAACAATATTTAATAAATTATTGCGCCTAACATAGCCTATAGGCTATATTAAACCTTCATTTCAACACAGGGTTTGTTGATTAGTATGCAAACATTGTGCACGCTTCCCTATACAAATCTTAGAACTATTGTATTACAATTTACCTGTAACCTAATAGCATAGTGAATGGAAATAGGCCTAAACAAAACTTTTATACTTTAGGTAGATATCTTACGGAACGGTGAAGAACTCTTGGACATTCCTGTTGAAGTAATTGATACGCTTATCGAACATGCCCCTGTTGTTGGAGGTGAAGAAGACAATGCTGACATTTTGCTGATTTGGGTAAGTTAAAATGCTCAAAGTACCAAGTAACAAGTAAATAAGAGTAAAATATGACTAGGCCTAGTGAAAAAGACCTAGGTCAAAGAAAGACCAAAGTCAATTGAAGATTTTTGAGGATGAAGGTAATTTTAATACAGGATTAGTAGATAGAATAATTTCTTTTACACATTTTAATGGTTTAATTATCTTTATTTTAATGTCAAATTAATAAGCATTGAAACCCCTAAATGTATAGTAAAACTTAGGTATCATGCTAAAGACTTTGTTTATTTTCCAGGGGGCCGTTTTTATTGAATGAAGTGGCTGAGGAGGTTGATACGAAAATCCGGACATGCACGGTGGAAGGATGTTGTGCCAAACAGTGAATACACAACTTCACACCAGATGAATACTGCAGGTACACTTCGACAGCAAAAATTTAGATTACTTACTTCAAAAACGAGGGAACAAATATTTTGGATTTGGTTTTGCTGGGTGAAATAAGAGCGATGACTCGAACCCCCAAATGTGTAAAGAGAGATAATTCCATACTATTCAAAGAGCGGAAAAGGTAGAATGCTGTTTGTTAAAATGTAAGCCAGTTAAAAAATCAAACGTCAACAGATTATGATATTAAAAACAATTCAAAACTACCCACCACCTCCCAACGTAAGAAAAAAAACGTATTTCCAAATTTGTGGATGACGTAGAGGGTAACAAGGGAAACATACAACGATAACATTGAAGCTGAATCTGCAAGCAACATAAAACTTTGTAAGGTGGAAGATAAAAAAAAATTCACAGCATCTTACACCCTGATACCTGATGGAAACTGTTAACTGGAATTTCCTACATTACCATAAGAGTTTTTGCTGGCAGGAAATGTACGTCACGTAGATAGGGGTTTACGGAAATATATCCTCAATGTATGACATCACTCCATATCAAGTAGCCTATTTAAACCCATTATAAACAGAAGAGGTAACGAAAGATATTGTTTTCCAACGATGTGTGTTGTAGATGGATGGTATTGTTATTGGGCCAAGGTTGTCTGAATGAGTTAAAAATAAATATTCTGCACGAATGGGTAAATATGACAGTATATATTTTCAAAATTATCGTTTATATTATATTATTTATCGTTTATATTATTTCAATTATCGTTTTTACGATAATTGCTGAGTTTATTAAGCATGAGGCTCAGGTTAAGATTATGAACTCAGGCTAAGGAAAAATCTTGTATTTCTGATCCAACACCAAGCACCTCACGTGTTGTTGTGATAGACAAGATTTTACCTAGCCATCCACGAACGTCAGGCTTTGCTCGACCATGTCGTCCACCATAAATTCAAGCGAAAAAAAACAAGAATTGATAGGCTACCCAAAAACCGTAAATTCGAAATTCTACTGTGACACTAAACGGTGAAGCCATTTTAAAAGAAGGAAATTACAGGTTCCGTCTGAAATTACCGAGAGACATGACCATCCCGAGTACACCCCACCGATAGTATAAATGTGAGAGCATATTGGTTAATAACATCATTCTGTTGCCAGCCTGCAGAAAAGCCATGAATCCCTGCTTGAGGAAGGTTACTAAACCCATGAAGGGAGTTAACTAGAACTAGTTTTGATCCCATGGCTGGGATCAAAAGATCCAAACTTCAGTAGGCGTTGACTGGTGATACCAAGAAGAAGAAATCTTCAACATATGTTGAAACCCTTGTCACCAGGGTTTCAATACAACCGTACGTCCAAGACATTGTCGAGCCGGGATCATCTTCTTCTTCTGCTAAGAGTTTGAAGCCACAGCGTGCTTTGTCTGACGAAATCAAGAAGAAATCTACATGTTCTGCTCAATCTTCTGTAGAGCCTGGATCTTCTTCTGCTGACGCTTCGAAGCCACAGTCTACAATCGTCTTCTTCATTATAGCCTTCTTCTTCTTGGTCATTGTCTTCCTCGTCTTCTGGATCCTCATCTTCATCGCCCTCGTCTTCTACCTCATCGTCCAAAAATCAAATAAATAAGTCCCCTCTATCCGTGCTTCTTTCTCCCTTAATTCTCTCCTTACTATCTCCTATTAACTTTTCAGAAAAGCCATTTACTCCCAAACATAAGCCATCTAAGAAAAAATCTTGTATTTGATATCCAACACCAAGCACCTCACGTGTTGTTGTGATTGACAAGATTTTACCTAGCCAACCACGAACTTCAGACTTTGCTCGACCCTGCCATCCACCCACTTCTTAAAGATTACTGCTTTAAACCATGCCATTTATGAATCGCATATAAAATGCACATAATAAAATAATATTTAAAAGCAGTTTCAAACGTAGTAAAGCGCATCTTAAAAAAATCATCAAACGTTGCAAAACTTGCTGCATCCACCACATCCCCCCCTTCACAACCCCTTCTCTTCCACTGTTATGTATAAAAGCAGAGCTTAAACTGTGTAATATCATTCTCTTATCGCTACCTACAATGCAGATCAACAAGCTGATTTACAATATGGATGGTGTATGTGGGTCATTTCAAAAATTCGGTCTCATTTATGTCAATGGAAAATATTAGGGTCAAATAACACAGGGTTTCTTATCTAAAATTTTTATTATGATCTACCCATAAGGATGTTGAAGTACCATGGGTATATTGGTGAAAACAGCAACCAGGGAATCCAGGAAAAAATACTAAAGTGCTGATTTCTCACTCCCTACTACTGTCACTGGCTAGAGGTAAGTAACTTTCATAACCTCTTATTCGTGGAACATATATATTGGAAGCTTAAAACTGAGATATTATGGAACAATGTTATGTCTAGAATTAATATAAGCCTTTGAAAAATAAATTAGACTAATGCAAGTCAACTTTTTCGTTCGTTTCAAGTGTGTCACACAGTTTAATATCACTCCCTACAAAAAGTTCAATAATTATTTTCAACTGACAGAGAAGGGAAATTTTCATGCAGTTTCAGTGCTATTGGCAACCCTGATCTAATATGGCGTCTGTAAGGTTTGTTTCACTTTTCTAGACCATTCCATGTGAGATTTACTGAAGTCACTGGAAAGTCAAGTAAATGCGTGGTTTTTTTGACCCTCACTACCTACTCTTGATGCATTTTCGTACTGGTAAGTGAAATATAACTATACAATACACAATAAGTGCAGTTAATTGCTCATTTATTGATAACATTTCATAATAGCCAGTTTCTATTGTTGACTAGTCTGTAATGACCTTGAAAGGTAAAAACCTCACTCCCTACTCATTCACTCCCTACAATGTTCACTGATTTCTAAATTGTAGGGAGTGAAAATTTCTTGTAGGGAGTGAGATTTTTTGCAATTTTTGAATAAAATTGTTGATTAAATGTTGATAAAACGTATTTACAACTTGTGTATTTCCATTTACCGGCTTAGTTAATTAGGCCTATGAAAAAATGGTGTTTCTTTGTAAGAGTGTGAGGGGATGATATGGTAAAAAAAATAAAAAAAAATAAGGGAACTCAAAATAAATTGAATGCATACTTAATTAAAATAATTCATATTACTAATGGATGATTAAATAATATGGCCTAATAAAAAAGCCTGTATTATGAAAAAAATTAATATAACTTTATACAAAATGTTAACAAAGTCATTAATTCCAGGTTAGTCATGAGTCCTCGAAGAAAACGGAGCCAGGCTGAGATGAAGGCATACTGGAAGGAAGCTGCAAAAAGAAGACGAGAAAGAATAAAAAATGATCCGATACTGCTAGAAATAGAACGAGAAAAAGAAAGAAAAAAGTATGCCACGAAGAAGAAGAAAGGTCAGGTAAAATTAGTGAAGGACATCACAAGCGTAAGGGATCTGAAGGCTCAACGTAAGGCATGGAGGGAGAGGGCTAAAAGATCTTACGAGAGGAAAAAAACACAAGGGAAGGCAGTCAGCTTTTTGGCAAGTAACACTCCTCCTGAAAGTGACAACGATGTCCAAGCTCCCATACCAGACAACTTAGGCCTACTTCAATCTCGACGGAAATCTGGGAGAAAGAAAGTGAAGAAAAATAGGGCTAAAGTAGCAAGAGACAACGTGAAACTTAAGAAAAAGAATAAAGAATTACAGAAACTATCAAACAAATGGCGTCAAAAGTTTTTTAGGTTAAAACATCAAATAAGTAAAAGCACTGACAAGAATTCTCCGGGTAAGATTGTGGCTCGGATAATGAAATCTGGAGACAAGAAAGAAGTTAGGAGACGTCTACTTTTCGGTGAAATCTGTAAACGCCAGCTACATGAAAGTTTCAATGGACTTCTTTTGAAAAAAGAAAAAAGAAAATTTGGACAAATTGTATGCGGGAACACCAAAACTTTTAAAAAATATCGTCTTCTATCAGGCTTGAGATCTATATCAGAAAAAGTGTTTAGGAAAAAACGTGTTTTACTTACGAATAATTCCGTAATGCGAACAAAAATGTTGAAGATAAGTGATAAGGTTAAACAAGACGTGCAAACATTTCTTGAGGATGATGAACATTCAAAGTTATGTCCCGGGAAAAAGGACTGTATTACAAAGAAAAAGGTAAAAAAACAAAAACGAATTCTTTCAAGTTCTCTTAAAAAGCTTCACACCCTCTTCTGTAAGCAGGTTGATTACAAAATAAGCTACACCACCTTCACAAAGCTAAGACCATTTTGGATCGTTTCTCGCAAACAAAACGAAAGGGACACATGTATGTGCACAATCCATGCAAACATGGAGCTACTAACTTCAAGCTTATTCAAAGCTAACATAATTGGCCATTCTCAGCCTAGTGATCTTGTTAACCTTGTGTGCTGCGACAGCCAAAACCCGTCATGTTTGCAAAGAACTTGCACTAATTGTAAAGATCTTATGGTTCCCTACTTATTATTTGATGGATCATCAGAAGTTTGTTTCCGTAGATGGGTAAACAAAATGGAAACATACAAAAATAAAAATGGTGTAGAAAAGCAAACCAAACACACAGTTAAAGAAACTGTAACAATGACAGCCTTAGAAGCCATTAACTTGTTTGAAAAAGAATTTCCTAAGTTCTTATTCCATGAAGGCATCATTTCACACCAATTTCGAGCCCTTAGATTCCTTAAGAAGAGGCTGAACGAAGAAGAAATACTAATCCACATGGATTATAGTGAAAATTATTCACTTAAATACGCTTCAGAGGTACAGTCGTTTCATTTTGGTGGAAGTCGCAAACAAATTACACTCCACACTTGTGAAATTTACTTTAAAAAAGATGCTTACAGCCAAGTATCTTCAAAATCCATGTGCACTTTATCGCAAAGTTTAGACCATGGGCCTCATGCAGTCTGGGCTCATCTACAGCCCGTTTTTCAGATGATTAAAAACACTGTTCCCAAAATCAAGGCTGTTCACTTCCTCTCAGATAGCCCAGCCACTCAGTACAGAAATCGCACTATATTCTATTTACTGGGTAGTGCCATAACTGCATCATTTGACCACATTTCTGTGGCAACATGGAACTATTCAGCTGCTGGTCACGGGAAGGGAGCTCCTGATGGAATCGGCGGCTGTTTGAAGAGGACAGCTGACACAGTTGTTGCACAAGGACATGACATTGATAGCCTGCCAAGATTGGTTGAGGTCCTGCAGGAAAATACTCGAAATATAGTACTTTGTGTTGTCCATGAAGATGATATTAAAGCTATCAAGCAAATGATTCCACAATCTCTTCCTCCATTTAAAGGAACCATGAAGACCCACCAGATTGTTTTCCTAAAAGACAACCCAAAGGAACTCAAAATGAGAACATTAAGCTGCTTCCATTGTTTTGACTGCAAAAAGCATCTTCTGGGGACTCATGATCTTTCTGGAGTTATATCTGAGGACATTCATTCTCCAACCCAAATAGTAGATGTGGACTGCGAGATTTTGAACGATGAAATACTTCATCCGGGGCCTTCTACCCAGCCTCAAATTGAGGTCGCCAAGATGCAATCAACGACATTAAATATGTCAACCACTGAAACACCAGCCCCTGGAAGTTTTGCCTTGGTTCAATTCAGTGGTTTTGGGAATAAATCGTTTCGATACGTTTGCAGTGTAGAGAAGCTTGACCAGAAAAATGGTTCACTATGGGTAAACGGTCTAAGAAGCTTTGAACACTCACGCAAACAATTTATAGTGAAAGAAAACGACGAATGTGCTGTAAAACTAGAAGATGTAGTCGCAATACTTCCCCTACCTCGTATTATAATGACCAAAAGAAAAGAGGTTTACTGTTTTGATGAAGACATTAATATTTGTGAAAAGTGAAAACGTACTACAATACCGTACCGTACTTATTTTGAATTTTTATTCAAAAATTGTATTCTGGTAAAGTAGTTTTAGTTTGTGAGTTATATTAACTTATGAATCTACCTACAACTTTTAGCAAAGAAGTGTTAAATTTAAATTAACTTCAGTTGTTGTTAAAAAGACAGCCAATTCATTGTGTTAAGACCATAATGAATGTTTTGTTACTAAAGACTGAAAATACAAAACTCGCTTGTGACTTTACATTTAAATGCTAAATAATAATTTTAAAACAAGCCAGCCAATGTATTTTGTTTTGTCAATATAAATTAGGCTACCGGTATAGTTTGTTCATTTTCAAGCTGAATGAAACTCATTTATATATTTAAATATAATTAGCCAGTTAATTTATGTGTTCAATAAATAAATATATATATTTTGCTCACTTTAAGACTGAATTACAAGACTGGACTTATTTGTGATGTTACACTTACTCTTAGCAATAATTTTCAAGCTCATTCATAATTTTTGTAGCAGTAAAATATGTTGGAAATAAACATTTAAAAATCAAAACGCCATTATTTCTCACTCCCTACACTTTTACTTCACTCCCTACAAAAGTGATTTTTTTTTTTATGGCTTAACTATGGTTAAGTTGAAAATTATGTGTGCTCACTTCTGTAACATACTGGGGGAGCCATAAACATTCATTAGCAATTAAAAAACTAACCATTCTATCATGTTTAATTTCCTAAAAAGTCAACGTCCAAATGTGACCGAATTTTTGAAACGACCCATGTGATAGTTTCTTTGACCTAGCAGTCCATGGCTCTCCTTTTTTTGGATGCATATTTCGAATTGGTCTTTTTTGTGAAGAAACATTATCTCCGATATTTTAAGACCGAATATAATGCGTCTCTCCAAGAGGATTTAATGGAATATCGTACTTTTATGGTCGATGCTGTCAATGCTGGACTCATAGGAGTGTTATCCTTAACTTTAGACGATGATTAAAACTGATAGTAAATTCAAGGCGAAAAGAACTCAGAGCGGGGAATATATCATTTAGTGGTTTATGTTCCTTTCGCTACCTACAATGCAGATCAACAAGCTGATTTACAATATGGATGGTGTATGTGATAGTTTCTTTGACCTAGCAGTCCATGGCTCTCCTTTTTTTGGATGCATATTTCGATTTGGTCTTTTTTGTGAAGAAACAATATCTCAGATATTTTAAGACCGAATATATAATGCGTCTCTCCAACAGGATTTAATGGAATATCGTACTTTTATGGTCGATGCTGTCAATGCTGGACTCATAGGAGTGTTATCCTTAGAATCAAAATATTTCGTTGTACACTTCTCAAAGATTATTGCTTTAAACCATGCCATTTTGAATTACGTATAAAATTTACACATACGAGAATGAAAAAACTTTCCTAAGCAGATGTTTGCAAAGTAATGCATATTGTATCTAAACAATTGCAACTTCTTTAATTAAATGTATGGTGAAGCATTACCCCCTCCCTACAACAAAGCTATAAAAGGTTGCTATGGAATGATAAAGTCCATCACTTATCTGACACCCGCATTAGTGTAAAGTCTCATTCTGTTCAGGGCAAGCGATGGAGTTTGAGGCAGCTGCTACTTTGGTATTGACAGAGACGGGGATAGTTGAAGATCCAGCAATCGTCCACCTAGCAGAGCCATTGGTGTCTTCAGATCTTAAGAGCTGAGATCTACTAACGGAGTGTCCAGATCCCGAGGGGTTGAAAAGTTTGCTGGATCCAAAAGCTGCTTCAGAACCATGGGTATGCAAGAGTGCGCAGCCTTTACCTCTTAAAAACCAGGTAGCTATTATTAAGAGAACCGCAAATATTGCTGTGAAACAAGCTATGCCTCCAGAAAGAAAAACAGAAAACTAAACTAAGTGATCAATACGATAAATTAGTAGAGGACCTCCTCCTTTCAGATGAAGACAATTCAAAGTCAGCAACCCAATTAAAACCAAACCTTACAACAACAAGAAATGTTACCATAGACACCTCAATAAATCCTGACAATGAAAAAACACAAGACAAACCTCCCAGAAAAATTCAATATACTTCACCCCATAAGCTTGTGAGAAGGAAGATTTGGATTGGAGGGGAAGTACACAAATGTAAACATGTACTTAAGAAAGGGGCATAAAAGGGAGAAGTATGTGGAAAACCGGGCGGAATAATCAATTTATGTTTCCAGCATTCGGCCAAACAAAAGGAATTTAATTTAATTTAAAACACCAAGTTTCATCTCTAAAAATCTAAAACTATGATTTGAAGAAGGAAATTCTCAATACAAAAGTTTAAATGAGAATAGCGAAAATATTTACATCCTTGGATATGGGCTATTGCTTGCATTTCAGCAAATAATTCAGCTGACATTTAATTTTAAAAGTTTCAGAAAACGGTTACGTTTTTCAATACAAACGTTTGAATGGAGTTTGTAAACATTTACTTTAGGGGTGGATGTACTATCTGCAACCTCGGACTTGGGCTGTCGCTTGCATCTCAAGTGTTGCAAATAATTCTGCTTTGTAGAAAATAAAGAAAAAACAATGGTAAAACACTAGCTATTTTCCTTAGTACGGAACTATTCTATTATAATTATAACTCTATTTATCTTTACAGTTATTATAAAAACATGATCATAAGAATACCAAAATAAAGATATTTTATTGTTTACTAATATCGCGATTGATAGAAAATCAAGGAAATTGGTATTGAAGCACATGGAACAAGGCGGATGTGACGTCGCCAAACATTTGATAGCCACTGCCCTTCTCCCACACTACCGCATGCCCGAGGCATTGCAAGTGATCGAACAACTAGTTGAGTCAACCGCTACTGCATACCGCACGAAGGCTAAGCGTCTGTTAGAGTAATTAGCCTGAAAAAGAGGCTTTTCTCATTTGTATGTAAGCATATAACCTTGGACTTATCAACATTGACCTCTATTATTACTGTTTATCAACTGGAAAATCATTGGCACTTGTGTGTTCGTAGATGAAATACATTAACTAAACACCCAATTTTTCAAGGGGTTTTTAAAATAATGTTATTTTTGATTTATTGTTCAAATAAAAATAGTTACAAAAACCAAGTTATGAAAGAAAGCTAAATTCAGAATCTGTTTGTTACAATATGTTTTTCGTCAGTAGTGCTTGACATAACTGCAAGGCGTTACAAATGTATATTCACACACACTGAACCATGAAATTGAATAACTATAAATGGCCTATTAAATAAGAACTTCTTTAAAATAAACACAAAACCTGTGGAATATTTTAAATTTTCAGAGTGGTAAAGATGCTTCTGGTGTAACAGATATTTCAAAGGCGAATGGATTGCGAAGGTAACACCTCAAGCTTTCCCAGTTTACGGTCAGACCATAGATAAAACATACTCCCGTCAGACTAACAGGACGAATAACTGACAGAAATCGTTGAACCTAAACATCAAAAGATGCATCAAGGCCGGAGGGAACACTTGGGATTTTTGGGGTATGCGTTATAAGTAATAAAAATCAAATAAGTGATATTTATTTCATTAAAAAATTAAGGCGATTTTTTCCCAACAGGTAATGCAAACACTACTAGGTATTTTTAAATGTTAATTCTTTTTTGAAACCCTTAATGTCAAACAAGTGCCCCCTCACATTTATTTTACAAAATTTCAATACTGCTTTCAACCCAAATGATGACTTCCAAAATAGTTTGAAAACATTGGTTGTATTTGTCTTTTTGTAAAACGAATCAATTGTTAAAATAAATTCTTTTCAAAGTGTTTTTTAAAATCTTTTTACTTAATTGTGCTCCCGGATTGGATCGGGTAAATTATTTTAATCTTGCTACTAATAAGCAATATACACATTTTTTTGTTATGTCAATACTTAATTAATGCTTTTGAAAATTCTAATTTTAAATATTAGTAATGTTTAAAAATACTTTGTTACAAGAGGGTTGATGGTGATTTCCGTAATGGAAATAAATTATTATTCTCAGCTGCAACAGGGAATGGAGTGTGACAGGGCAAGAGAAAAAAACTGCTGCTTCAGGACAGCAATATAAAGAAACTGCAGCAGAAAATAGTGGAGGGAAGGATCTCTCTAGCGGATTTCCTGAACGCAGCGTCCCACCGCATAAAGAACCCAACACCACCAGCCACGGACAGGAGGGGTAAGAACTGTGATGATGTGGAGTTGTGCAACTTCGGCGTGGTCGAAGGTAATTTTCGCGCTCATGTTTTTTTTTCTAAAACAGTACAAGGGCATAGTAAAAGTATTCAGAATCCTCATTTGAAAGAAATAATGCAACTCAGTTTTTGTAGAGATTTTAAGTGGCGAATGTGATAATGTTACATGGGTCATGTTATACATAATTTTAAAGGTATTTGATAGACAAACATTTTGGCGAAAGCATAAATTAATTATCATTTTCCGTTTCAAAATTGCGGAAGTTTCTTAGGGAAATAAATATGTTTTCATTACTCTTTGTTTCCTATACCAATACACTTAGCCCTTCTCTGGTTGAGTTTACTTATTCGTCATGAATTTAGCTTTACTGTGAAATGCTACAAAGGAACGGTTTTGAATAAAAAATTCCAAAGAAATTAATTTTTGAAAATTTGCAAAAGTTTACTGTACAAAATTGTTAAATGTCAACATGTTTCAAGTCATTTTATATGTTTTAAAATTCCTAACAACTTTGTAATTCACACTTACTTCGTATCTCTTTTAGTTTTTATGTTAATAAAAAAAAAAACTACTTTTCTTAGATCAAATACCGGTATTGTATATGTTATTTGGGCTTAACACTTAAACGTGTTAAAAATCCAGATAACAAACTATAATATTATGGTACAATACCTCGTCAAGTAATCCAAATGATGTTAAGGTTAACAACCTACAACTTTCACCGTAAATGCGGGGTTACAAAAACTAAGACATCGATGACACACGCACACAATAAATACACAAATTCAAACATTTAACTGACATTGATAGGCCCATTAATCGTAGGTGCTACATAAATACATAAAATACGATTAATTACGATCCTTTATTTTTTAAGGAGAATATTGTAAAATAAAGTTTCCTTGTTTATGGATATATATTTTTATCAAACTTAGCAAATTTATTTTAAGCTAACTGAAGCACTCTTTATACGATAAGCCTAACGTTAATTAAATTGATTTAACATCTTATCAAGTACCGAAATGGAAATGCACATAGTCTAAAGTTTTGCTGGTTTTTAAAAATAACCATTACCTATTCGGTTCAAAATTGCTGCACTTTTAACAGAGGAGCAATTAATTATTAATGTCTTTACAATTAATTCTAGGTACTTAGTATATTCAAATGCTCTTGTATTAAATTATTTGTATGTTTTCAATTATTTACTGAAGAAGCACCCGCATTGGCTGTATTGGTCAATCCATACAGTGATTACTTGGATTTCCCTACCCAGTTTGTAGAGGAGTTCATGCCTGTATAAGATGTGAGGCAGCGGCGTGCACATTTGATACGATGTCTGCCGACTATAGACGACAGCGAACAGCTAGCAGAAGATTGAGATCCGCGTGCCAAATATGTACAATAAAGAAACCAACAAAGTTGTGCAGTCCCTGTGGCCATGTCGTGTTATGCGGTACCTGTGCCATGGACCTCGTAGGGCAGGAGATGTTTCACAGAGTCATTCTGGCAAATGGTGATATCGGGGAAACTGACATTCCATTGCTGATCACCTGCCCGGCATGTCGTGCCATCGTGGGCAGTTTTAGTTTTGTAAATAAATGTAAATATTTTGTTTACAACATATGTTATGATCTGGAACTAAGTTTATATTTTGCACTAACATGACAAGTTTTAATTGCAAAATGTTTTTTGTATTTCCTGAGACATAATGACTGACTTCTTTGTATGATGAGATCATGCAATGTTGGCTTTAACTAAAATTCATGTACCAGCGTCACTAATTTTTTCTCCAAAATCTCCTACAAAGTAAAATGTCCAAACATTGCAATAATTGAATTTAGATTGCAATAGTTTTTTTCTACTTGTTACAGTCTACAGAACCAACCTAATGTTATTCGGCTCTAACTACCTGTACTGTAGTACTATTTTATTACTTTGTTAGTTTTTTTTATTTATTTTTTTATTACCCGGGTGGAGATTACGTCTATCATCTAGTTAGTGTTGAACACGAAGATTAAACATGAACAGTTTTTAATGTTTTTATTATTTGTTTATTATTTATCAGTTTAAATAATAAACGTATATAATCTTTTATCATATACGTTAATTATGTGTTTTAAGCATAGTAGCGCTGATAAACCAAGTGGAGAAATCCTATTGTTGCGTTGTAAGACAGCGTAAACAGATGGAGCGGGTTGGCAGATAGTCGGGGTGACACCTTGTCGCGAGAGTGCAAGGTGGTAGTTTGTCGTTAACGGCAGCGGCAGATCGTCACCTGGGCCTAGAGTAGGTGACGGGTCGTAGGGGTGGCACATTGACGCAAGGCGTGCGAGGTGACAGGCTGTCGTCCCTACACACGACGAACAATCACCTCCAGAGAAGATTCGTTTATAAAGCTCAGCTCTAGCAAAGCTTTCCATGCTTTTATTCAAATGAACTATGACATGAAGAATGTAGTGTTTTGGATCGACAACCATTTAACCCAAAACAAGAGTTGAACATT